TTCACCATAGGTCACATGCACTCGCCAGACAGAGAGAGACATAGAGACAGAAAGCGAGAAATCACCCCCCAGAGGGGATGGTCACGCCGCAATCCCTTCTCCTCCATTCTCCTCTCGGGATCTTGGGCACACACGCACACGTGCCTGGAGTGAGTTTTAAGCCACCGGGTCCGGGACACGAACTGCGGTCAACTATGTGGGAGTCTAGCGACACAGCCATTACGCTAACTGCTGGTTCCCTAAAAATTCTTCTTCAATAAGAATTGAAGGGAAAATCAATAGGTAAATCAATGTCTCTCCAATAATAACCAAAAGGAATGAACATACATATGCAATTTTCATTAAATTTTTAGGATAGCTTCCTTAGAATCAGTCCCAACTTTTGGCAATGAATTGTAACCAACAAGTTGTTAACATCTCTACCACCCTTTAATTTTAAAATTGTTAACTTATGAGAAAGGCAGCATGATAGTTAATGGAACCTTTATATCTGGGAGCAAATATGTGCTGATGAGATTCTTACCTGTCCCCCTTTAGGCTGGTATTTGATGTTGTCTGTAGATCCAATTTTGGATTTGACATTCTTCAGGTCTGGCAGTGGTTGGTTAATAAGCCGAAGTTGCTTGGGAGTTGCAGGAGACTTTGGAGGAGTACGTATGATGGCTACTTTCTTCTCACTGGGCACCAAGATGGCAGATTTGGGGGTTCCTGGTGTATGAGGGGTCCTGGGATAGCTAGGGGTTCCAGGAGTACCTGGTGTGCGTGAAGAATAGCTTGGTGGGGTGCCAGGGGTGATGGCAGTTGATCCAGGAGTTGTGGGTGTTGAGGTGCCACTTTTTCCTGCTCTGCGAATTGGCTCTGACCCTATATTAACAAAAAAGACAGAAACCAAAGCACAACATTAGAACATTCTCTTCAAAACACACTTTTTTCTGTAGACTGCTAAAACTCATACTTAATTTCTTTTTTTGAGAGAGAGAGATTTTTGCTATTGAGTGCATGTGCTTGTTGGAGAGACAGAGACAGAAAGTGAGAAATTACCAGCCCCCCACGGGGATGACCTCACCACAATCCCTTCTCCTCCATACTCCTCTTGGGACTGTGGGCACACATGCACATGCGCTCATCATGAGTTTTAAGTCACCGGGTCCGAGACTCGAACTGTGGTTGATTATATAGGAGTGCAACGACTTAGCCATTACATCATCTGCTTGTCTCACTCATATTTAATTTCCAAAGCATTTAGAAGTATTTATGAAGTATCACAATGATGTTCAATAGGTTAGCCTCCTTTCTTTGAGTTCATAACCTGATGGTATTCTCTGGCATCAGTTACTGTCAATTCAAGTTTCAGTCAATTGCTGTCAACATATTTTCTGATTTACTCTTCTTTATTCTTATTAATGTATTAAAAGGTTTTTCTACTTATTTAATCATTGAGATATATTAATCTGCCTTTCATGAATGTTGCTTGAATAATATGGGAACTATTCACTCCTCTATGTAGTAAATTCATTAAAAGATCAGGTGGACACACTTAATTTTGGCCTATGAACAAAGCTGTTTATTGAGGGACCAGCAGTTGGCATAATGGCTATATTGCTGGACTCCCATGTAGTTGACCACAGTACAAGTCGCAGACCTGGTGGCTTAAAACTCACTCCAGGTGCATATGCATGCGTGTCCAAGATCCTGAGAGGAGATTGGATGAGAAGGGAATGCAGTGTGGCCATTCCCCCTGGTGGTGATTTCTTGCTATCTCTCTCTGTCTTCCTGGTGAGCGTACACACCTTATAACAAAGTAGGGCATGAGTATTTATTTACCCAGATGCTACTAAATTCTAAGCCAGATATGATACTGGGTTGTTAGAAGAGTAATGACATATTTTTTCTCTATAAAATGTATCATGGCTTTTCCAACCACCCAACAGTTAACTTCTGAGAATTTACATTTTGTGTGTGCGTGTGTTTATTTATTTATTTATTTATTTTGCCACAAGCACGTATACTAGCCAGAGAGACACAGAAAATGGAATCCCTTTTCCTCTAGTCTTCACTTGGGATTTTGGGAAGGCTCACACTTGTGCCTGGCATGATTTTCAAGTCACCAAGTCTGGGTCTCAAATCGCAGTATGCCAGGTGGGATTCTGGCACTTAACCACTATGCCACCTACTGACCTCAAGAATTTACATGTTTTAAAGCCCCCAAATTTTATCGGAATATGATGCTTTTTATTTTTTACTACAGAATGTATACTTTTTAAAAATCAATGACTCTTGGGATGACCAAGTGGCATAATGGTTACATTGTTGGACTCCCCCATACTTGACTGTGGTTCAAGTCCCAGACCCAGCAGCTAAAAACAAACAAACAAACCACAAGCAAAAAAACACCTCTCACGGGGCAAATGTGCATGTGCTCAAAATCCTGAAAGGGCACTGGAAGAGAAGGGATTGCAGCATGACCATCCCCTGTGGGGGAGTGTGATTTCTCACCTTCTATCACTCTAGTGAGCACACACGTCCTATAGCAAAAATACCTCTTAAAAAAAAAAGGAGTTAAAAAAATCAATGACTGTTCTGGAAATTTTGTAGTAGATACTGATATGACAATTTTAAAATCAGTGAGGTAAAAGAGAGGTCATCTACTACAGTTGATTATGTTTGGGAAGTTCTTTCTGGAAAGGATACCATTAATGCTTGCTTAAATATTTAGAAAGAGTAAGCTCAAGAGAGCTTCCTGGATCACTGTAATCTATAATGTAAATCTACCCATCAGTTTACATCTAATCTCCTGGAAAAACATAGAATTTTACCTCCCCTTTCAGCAAACACTTTTCATTATTGAAGTGAAAGTTTTGACATGTAAAAGGTATCCAGTTCCTTCTGATCTTTTAACAGGGTTTCCAAATACAGTCAAACTCTTTAATAATATTAGAAGATAAAGAGAAACATTAGTGCACATTCTGTGACCTTTTTATTGCTATCCACAACAAATGCAATTTTAAGATCAGGATGATACAACCACACCCAACTTTCCAACCTTCTTCGTAGTTTCTTTACCCTTGGCTTATTTATGGACTAAGTTTTTAATGTAGGGTTGAGTTAGTCACTATAGTCTTCTGAAAAATCTCTCTGAAAACCTTATTTCTTCTTCAGATGTTTTCTCTATGTCGCTACCATTGAATAACTCAGATCTTCTGGGGAGAGGGATGCTCTGTGTGTGATTTGCCACTGGACCTAGCCTTGCTGACTGTCATGGGGGCTGAACACAGCAGATCCTCAACATATTTTTTTTTAAATGAATTTATCAAAATGCCCAGGGTGTTTTTTAGTTAACAAAGACTAAGTTAAAGCAATATTCTAAATATGACTAACAATTTTTTTACTATTAAACTTTTTTTTCTAAAATAAAAGTCATTTCCATAATTGTGGAAGATGACTTTAAGCTTCAGAAAGGAAAAGAGGTAGTTTTTGTGTTCATCTTGAGAAAAAGAATAAACCACAAGTATTAAGACCATCACGCTGCTCTTTAGTACATATGATTTTTCATTGTAAGAAATTATTTTCTGGTCATTACAAAGGTAAATTTGACTGTTTATTTGTTCTAAAGTTAAATATAAGACACTAAGACAATGTAAAAATATTTATGATTTACTTCATGAAACTGTGCACATACTTATCTTGTCAACTGCTCCATGAAGATGTCTATTCTTCCCCTTGGGCTACCTGAGCTTCCTGCATAGCACTGTTTCCTCTGAATCTTTTCAATCACTATACAAAGTACCAGAACATTCCTTGTGTAGTTAAGGAGATGACAGGCGAATGAGAGTAGGCATATTGCTTGCTCTTCTAATCACCTGTATGCATTTTAGCTATTGCTATATAGAGATAAAACAGGTCCTATGTCCTTAGATAATTACGGTATGTCCTTAGATAATTACGGTATGAATTGCACTAATTGCCAAATAATACAATGCAATATGCTTGGGAACATAAGTTAGGAAGTCAAAGTCAAATTGGCTTAAAATGTTTGAAAAAGGAATTGACACATGCGTACATTTTTAAAGGCTTAAAGAAATGGATTTACTGAGAAAGTGCTATGTTGCTTCTCAAGCCAAGTACAAGGTGTTTCTTGGGGAACCTTTCATGCCTTTGTCTGATCTCATCATCCTCAGGACTATCGCTAATGCCCAATTCCAATTCCAGATACTTCTACAGAGCTAAAGTCTCTTCTCTTGAGATTATTAACTCTTAAATGCCCTCCCTCCAAGCTAATTTGAATTTTCTAATTTTTTCCTTTAGAAAAAGAAAAAGTGTAAGTTATTTCAAAGTGCTCCTGGCATATATTTCAAAGGACACTAATATTCATGAAACAAAATGGTGTAGGGCACAATGGCTGTAATTAAAATAAACACTTTCATTGTGGGCAAAAATACTGTTTAAGTTTCATACAAAATAGTCACATTTGAAGAGGGTCAATTACTGTTAAAATGTGAAAAATGAGTAGTAAAATTTCTACTATTTTATGATGGTTTTTAAATGACAGAGATATGAATGCCAAGTGATTCCACACAGCTGTTCTTTATTATTAACTATTTTCTCCAAATCAGTTTAGAGAACACATTAAAAGTACAGGTTGTGAAGTTATCAGTGGGCTGAAAATCAACCACTTCCTGGTTTCATATCATTGGATATTACCTACCCTCTAAAAGGTCAGTTTTCTCATCAATAGACTGAATTGAGGTTATTAATCATCAGTTCTATTAGCTAAATGAAAAATGTTGAGAGTTCAGTAGCTATGTGCTCAGTAAACGGCAGCTATTTTTTGTTATAATAGAAAAATACTTAGAAAAATAACTCTGCTTTACTAGACAGTCTTACTGGCAACACAATGTATAAATATATTATGATGAGAACATTATATACATTGGTATAACTGACAATCAGTTGATGATGAATCAGTAGAAAGAAACTGAAGTTAGAACATAGAACATGATGTATTTACAGCTCATTAGAATGCAAATTCTTAACAAATTGTGCAGGTATCTAGGTTTTAATGGATGATTTTCACTTAGCATTTAAGGCTTGAAATTCTAATAAGTGTTAAGCTTATATGGATGCTTATCTTAAAAATCCCTATTGTTTTTCTCTATTAATTACTTCTTTAAAATTTTCTTTTTTTGCCTCAAATTTTAGACAAGAGAGAAAAATATATTATTAGAATAATGACTTTCTCTCAATTTTTAAAATAGAAAACAGGGCAATACATCCCCATTTCTTACATCGATTATTTAGACTCAAACGGCTATTTTGGAACCAGCTATGATATGGGTTTTCTGATTCTCAGGACAAATACAATCTATTCTTAATGTATATTTTAGTTGAAAAATATAAAATATAAATATATAATAAGCTCTATTCTACCTAAGGGATTTTTTTTTTAAATCAATGATTAAAAGGAAAACTAAACAAAAATAAACCTACTGGTGGTCCGTCTTGCCGAAGAGGAGATGGAACTGTTGAGAGAGAAGGAATTCTCATCTCTGTCTCCTGACACACCTCGGCGAGGAGGGAGAATGGAGGAAGGTCTCGGGAGTGAAGAGCGTTTTTCTGGACTCTTGGTTACTCCATCCTTATTGGGAAAAACAAAAAGACATTAGATTCTTGTGATCATTAATTTAATAATACAAGTGATTATATTGGATCAGGCTATTTTTCTCCTGTGCAGACAGATATGTTTTCAAAATAAACACTTCTGAATTTCATATCTTTACAAGCATTTCTAGTTCATAACTTACAGTTCATTTGCCTAGACGTTTTCTAAAAATATATTATTTTGGAGTTAGTTCTGATAACTGTGAAGTTGAAACTCTAAATGATACTATTGGTAAAATGAATTTACCTAAGGAATCTTCAGCAAATTATTAATTTCAACAGAAAAATTCTCATTAGTATCATCATTTATTTACCAGAGAGAATTGGTAGTAAGGTATTACTCATGTAATACAGTATTTTGAACAACGACTGTTAATCTATGTTGAGCCCTTATGTAACAAGAACTCTAAGAACGTCACATTCATCTATCACGTCATTCTCACCACAAAATATGTTAGGCATTTTAAAGTTAGGGAAACAGGTTTAATGACTTTACACAGTTTTTTCCAAGATCACCCAGTTGGTAGGCAGCAAAGGGAATATTAAATCCTGATGTGTCTGATGCCGAGTCTAAGTTAACTATTTTATATTATACATATTAGCATTTGTTGTTATTGGACTATATAGTATTATATATGTTGTAGTATATATAATAGAATATATTTTGTTAGATTGTATTTTATAGTTTACGAGATAAATTAATCATGAACAGTATCTGGAAAAGACATTTTCTTTTTTTGTTTCCTAGGCAAACTGTTTATCCAAACTTTTAAAGTATATATCAGTTTAATCAGGTCTGCTGTTTATATATCAAATGTGATAGAATTTAAAGGGTTTGCTTTAATACATTCCTGAATTGGGTCCTAAACCTTCTCCCAAATTATATTCCTTTCTGCACCTTTTAATGATCCGCTGCCTTACCTTGTTCCCTGATTCTGAGTATGGCAAACGGTCTGTGGAGCCCGCTGAGGTGGGCTGTATTAAAAAACTGTCAGAAAATGTAGCCCTTTTAGTCGTACTAGGGCAGGCTGAGTTGTATCTTGGGGACTTTGTGCTACCCTGTAAGGCAGGAATCTTTGACAAGGTAGAAGTCTAGCCATGAAAGAAAACAAACAAAAGTACACAATAAACCAAACTATGAAGTAAAAGGAAAATAAATAAAGAAATATAAACATACAAGAAATTAAATGTCTACATTTAGTAAGAACACAACAAGAGAAATGGTTATACTCAGTGACAGAGTATATTTATGTAAGAAAAAGAGATTTTCATTGAACACCTCTTTTTAGCTGGAACTAATTTAACAATACCCATATAAAAATGTCTGCTATACATAAAAACAGAAACAATGTCACACCATGTAGCCTTAAATTAATCAGGTCTAGAACAGACAGCCATATCGTTAGCTTTCCTTCACCTCCAAATGTTTTGATTGTTTGGGCTTGGTACATAATAATGACACAACAAGTAACTGTTGACTAGATGATGAGTGGGAAGCTGGGTGGATGAAAGGACAATATTGTTTAGACATGGAACAACTGGCTTCTGAGCCCCAAGCAAGTATTTATGATTTGATATAGAAATTGATACACTCAAAACCCTACCCAGAGAAGCAGAAGACATGACCAAAAGAGAAAATATAGTAATTAATCCTATAAAAAAGGAAGCAAGAGAGGCTTCTTTTGAGAAAAAGCAGGATAGTGCTAAAATCTCCACTGTGAAAGTTTAAGGCTGGAATTTGGGCCTAAAATAGGAAAAAATATGACCACACCTTTTTGGTATAAGCTACCTTGGGTAAGCAGAGTTATTGAAAGACCCTTGAGGCTGTTGCAGCCTCCTTTCTTCTGAAGTAAATTGTTCAGGATGAAATTCAGTTTCAAGATGTGCTAGTTTTATCTTTCATAGGTTTGGATTGTTTGAAGACCCAATTATGGAAGGTTGGTAGAATCAATTCCCACTGTGTATTTATATTTATGATGTAGTTGTACATTTAGATGCATCTTCATAATTCATATTATTTTCAATTAACTACTGTCAAAGTTGACTACTATTGTCACTCTTGCTTCTGTGCTGTCTGGGTGATGGGGGAATAAACTCCTAAGGGAAGCTAAGATTGAGTTTTGGCACAATGTCCAACTCTGGAAATTACAAACTCTTTGCAAGTACTCTTGCAATTAAATCACTCACTACTGGAGACTGCAATAAGAACTCCAAATCATGAATTTTACTATTTAAGGATGTTACCAATAGAACCACTTCTTATAAAATAAGCCTTAGTAGAAAGAATATGACAAATAGCAATCAGCAAAACTTTCCTGATTTCAAAAGTGATGTTAAGTTGCTAAACTTTTTTTTCTTTATGATTTTATAAATATTTCTTTCATTTAATGAAGATATAGACAAAATATAAGTTATGGATTCCATGTGTAGGGTCACTAAGTAATCCATAGGTCTTACGATAATACCACATTTAGAAAATACCTTGAGCTGAATTGTTCTGCTTAGAAACACAGCCGTTAAGGTATACATAGAATTCATATCTTGGTCATGTTTCAGGAACTTCAGAACTAAGTGAATTGGAGGCTTAATAATGGAAACCACTTTTTAAAGACAGAAAATTTATTTGCAGATAGTCAACATGAATTTCATCAGAAAAATTGCAGAGTTGATATTACAATGAGTTCATTTTATGAGTAACATGCATACCGGGGACTAAGTTATACTTGGAATGAATAGCATTTTTATGTTCAGACTATAGTCAGTATGATGTGTTATAACTTTGTAAATGTCAGCACCGGTTGCCCATGAATATCAGAAGACTAAATTTAGAAGTGCTGCGAACCCCTGAGGAGACATGTGAAGTGTAAGTGAGTTGGATGGATAGCTTTAGGAGAAAGCTATGCTGGCATGCCACATGTCTCATGGGAAACTGAAAAATACAGACAAGCAATGACAAAACCAATGAGATTATTATCTTCAAATAATTTGATTTAGCTGTTACAAAAAATAGCAGATTAAATTGAGATTTGATCTCAAGTTTTAGCCTGCATAACCACTTCAACAGAGACACAGGCATTCACAGATTGCACAAATCACTGCTTGTTTTCCAGACCCAGTGCCTTGAGTGGGATGTGAAATTGGGTCGGCACATGTCATTCTTTTTTGATTGATTCTATTCACAAAAAAAACCCCTGATTTTCTTTCTTTCTCTTTCTTTCTTTCTTTTTTTTTTTTTTTTTAATTTGCCAAGTGGCACATGTGCTTGCTGGAGATAGAGAGGAAGGGAAGGAGAGAGAGAGAGAGAGAGAGAGAGAGAGAGAGAGGGAGAAAGACAGCCCCCGTGCCCCCATGGAGAGTGGTCATGCTGCAATCATTTCTCCTCCATTCTCCTCTCGATATTTTGGGCACATGTTTTTCAAGCCACCATGTCCCAGACTGAAACCATACAGTCAGCCATGTGGGATCCAGTGCCTTAGACACCAGTGCCACTGGCTGGCCTGAGGCTGCATTTCAAGTGTGAGATAAGGAAAAGAAAAGTGAAGTAATTGGGTTGTTTCTAATTGAGAATGACAATTGCTATTGCTAAACAAACAACAACAAAAACCCAAATGAAATGCAGGATTAGCAGTAGGTCAGGTTCATAATAAAGAGCAATTGAAAACCAGAAACTTGTTCTGATGGGTGTGCTGAATACCAAAATAAATAAGAGTTCATCTTGGGGCTGTAGAAAAATTATATAAAGAGGATGAAAAAGGGATGATAAATGATGAAAAGAAAGAATGATGGCTTAGCCACTTCTTCAGAAAAATAAAAAGGACATAAAAAAGGAAAAAAGTTTTGCATCAGCTGATATGTGTGAGGTCTTCAAAAAGTTTGTGGAAAATGCACATTATGAAAGAAACTATGCATGGATCTCAATTTTTTTTTTGCACTAAAATAGACTTGTACTTTCCATTTTTCATGGCCATTTTGAAGTCCCTTTGTGTATAGTTCCTGCATCAAGGCTCAACATTAAATAACAGTCCTGCT